GGCAGGAGGATCGCTTGAGCCCAGGAGTTTGAGGTTGCTGTGAGCTAGGATGACGCCACGGCACTCTAGCCCAGACAACACAGTGAGACTCTGTCTCAAAAAAAATAAATAAATAAACTTTAAAGTAAAATACGCATCCTCCTGGGGCGTATTTCATGTTACCCAGTAATTATACAAGTTATTAAACTAATCAGTGCCCTTTTTATGCACTTCAAGAATTCTTCTCTACCTTCTACCATCCCCACTGTTTAGTATTTCTCTAAGGAAATAGAAAACCCAAATGCTAATGCTTCTTTTGCATTATTTTATACTTTGTTTACTCATTTTTTTCTCTGAACTGAGTCAACAATTTATGCTACATTCCACAGAAGAAATGAAGAAATTCAGAAAGCAAAAAACCAGTCTGTTCTGAGGCCTAATTCCAGGCAATTGTTTACGCCAAGGAAAAGCAGATGTTTATATGTAACCGTATCAAAAGGGCCCCAAGGGTGGGAAGCAACTGCAGCCAGTAAGTCAACAAACACATTGTGAACGGAATCCTTCACTGTTTCATTATCTGCGCTAAGGATGTGATCAATAAAAAAGTTTCATCAAGCACAGTGGGAAAGCTCAGTAATCAAAGGGATACTTTGGCAAAATAAAAGATTGAAAAAAGGAAGAATCAGAAACACTATAAAAGAAAACATAAATAAGGTGGTTGCAAAGAAACCAGAGAAGCCCTTGATCACCAAAGTTTTAGAAAAAAATGGCATTCATTTCAATAAAGTGTCTACGATGACTCAGGTACTAGGTACAGACCTGACTGTAAGCCAGGTGGCTAGGCTGAGGCTGTCAAAGTCCTTTCTGGACTTATGACACTAACTGGAATTAGGGGAAGCCTAAGAGTTGTCTGCCACCAACACCCCTTACGTTTGCAGCCTTCAGGTCCAAACCCAAAGTGGTTGACCTCACAGCGTTCACAGTGCTGACCGGTGATGCCAGGCTGGCACTCACACTGGCCGTTGCGGATGTCACACTGCCCGTTGGTGGACCCCAGAGCATGGCAGTCACACCTGAAAATGAACACAGGACATTTCTCAGGGAAAAAAACCAGGCTTGAAGCAAAACTTTTTTTTCCAGCACAACACTGATGTAGTATGTACCAGAAAACTGGATGTTGAGGGTTATTAAGCCCCTGAGGTTCCAGTAATTTTCACGAGCACTATTCAGAATCTCTTCTTTTAACCTACTGCTACCAGTGGCTCTCCAACCTGGCACTGTATCAACACTGGCTAGCAGCTTTGAAAACAGGAATTCCCAGGCTACAGCCCTGGAGGGTTTGCTTCTAAGCACCCCAGAAAGGACCTGGTAGTCTGTATTTTTAAAATGCTGCTTGGGTGATTCCGACACAGCTGGGGCCACTGTGCTCCACTCCCTTCTTCCATTAGCTTAATTACAATCCTCCAGTACTGCCCCTAAAGGATGCCTGGCCTGTATTAGGCACTCAAATAATTTCTGAACAAAGTCAAGCCAACTATTAAGCACAACTTATGAAAATTCATTTCTTATAATACAAAAAAGCAAAGCCTGCTTCCACCAAAGGCACCGATGTCTCACCTCTCACAGCCCTGCCCGCTCTGCAGGTTGAAGAATCCAGGGTCGCAGGAGCCACAGTCCCGGCCGGTCACGTGAGGCAGACACTCGCACTGCCCGGTCACGGGGTTGCAGCTGCTCTGCTGCTTCGCCGTCCCATACGGATTGCAGTTGCAGGCTAAGGCAGGAAGACAGAGACAGCAAAAGACGCGAATCACCTGAGAGAAATACTAAAATATAAACAATTCAAACAGATTCTTTAGACTTGTGTTATGTAGTATGATAGCCACTGGTCACACATGGCTCCTGAGCACTTCAAATGTGGCTGGCTAGTCCGAGCTGAGATACGCTATACATGTGAGATATACACTGAATTCTGAAGACTTAGTGTGGAAAAAAGAACATACATTTCGTTAATAATTTTTTATTGATTACCAGTTGAAATAAGATGTTGGATATATTAGGCTAAGTAGAATGTATTAGAATTAACTTTACCGTTTCTTTTTATGTTTTTAATGTGGTGACTAGAAAAGTTTAAGTTGTGTAAGTGGTTTGCACTGAATACCTTTAACTATTTGAAGAGACACACACGAATTCTCAGAATAAAGGACTATAACTGTGACGGACTCTCATCGGCGGCTGATTACCTCTGCATTTGTCTGCTGGACTGGGAGCCAGGGGATTTCCAAAAAACCCATCTTTGCACCGGTCACAGTAGAAACCAGCAGTGTTATAGATGCACTTGAGGCATTCTCCGGTCAGGCGATTGCAGTTTCCCACCGCATTGGGATCGATGTTGTCATTGCACTGGCACAGGCGGCAAAGCCTCACAGGGCCGTTCCCACCTAGAGGGTCTCCAAAGTAGCCATCGTCACAGAGCTCGCATCTCTTACCTGGGGATGAGACAATCTGATGTCATGAAAGAAAGGTCTCAGACATTTCTGGAGCGGTATGACCACTAGTTAAAGACAGTCTACTCTATACTATTCAGCTTTAAGAAACAATGGTGACATAGCACCTCTTACATACTCCTGGATAGAGCTGGAACGCATTCTACTAAGTGAGGTATCCCA